TGTGCGGTGGGGATGCAGGTAGGAGGCCGAGCTCGTGAAGGGCACTAGGCAGCCCCAGCCTGCACCATGGACTCAGTGAGCTTGGTTCCTGGCTTCTCTGGTGGGTTCTTAGAGCCGTGGGAGGGGCACATTCAGTGCCCCCTAGTGCAGTGCTGTGGAGGGAGAGGGAAGTTCAGGGCAAGGTGCAGGAAGGTCACAGCACCAACGGACCAGCCATCGCTCAAGTGACCTTTTGTTTGTATCAGAATTTAGGCTGCCCAAGGGAACCTTTCCATCTTCCAAGCTGTCACTTCACTAACTGAAGTGGGCACCAGTGACCAGCAGATCCAAGACCCTGACAGCCGAGTGTCGGGGCTGCCAACCCCACGGGGAGAAATGTACCTGCACATTATGTACCCACGCTACAGCCCTTGCCTGGCAAGCTTTCAGCTGATCACTGCAAAGCACAGACACTGTCCTGCACAGGGGCTCGCTGGATGAAAGGAGAATCCCACAGCACCATGTGAGCAATCTGCCCCGCGCAGCATCGGTTTTGGGACCTAGGTGTCAATATCTATAGGTGCCACTACACCCTGGGTTAGGGCTCAGGTCCTTTCACTAACAGAGCCCATGCACGAGTCCTGGAAATACACAGCATGTGGCAGGAGCAGGGACAGATTCTCCCCATTTTACTGACATTTCGCTGACAGCCCCATGTTCCTGCTTTTCCATATTTTTATGGATGGTCCGTGCCTCTGCTGCTGGCTGGCAGCTCCACCCAGGATCGACTTCTGAGGAACTGAAGAGCCAGTGCAGGTTTGAAAGTGCAGAGATTAGGGCTTCTTACCTCAGAAACGCTCCGTGCCCTGACTAGGCAGGGCAATGACAGAAGTCCAGGACTAGATCTCAGGGCCACAGGAGTGACTCCACACCACAAATGCTACAAGGATCTAAATTCCCAGCACAGAGCATGCAGGATGCCAGCCACTGAGAGTGACTTGATAGCAGAGGAGACTCCTCAGCGGGGCCCCTTCTAAGGGCTCCTCCAAACACAATCCTCAGCCAGAATCTGAAGGAGCACTTTACACTATATATCAGGCAGATTGGGTAGCTGCAGTAAATTTCTAATGGTCCTGTTGCTAAGGTGCTCAGGACAGTAGCCTAGGTCTTGGGAGACTTGGGTTCAGATCCATGCCCTGCCCCAGGTTCCTTGTGTGATCTCAAGCAAGTCACTGAACCTCAGTTCCTCACCTGCCCAGTGGGGATAACAGCACTACCCTGGCTCCCAGGGCATTGGGATGTGAGGCTAAGCATGCTAGAATCACAGGCCCACAGGGTTCGAAGGGAACACAAGGGTCATCTAGTCTAGGCCCCTGCCGAGGTGCAGGATTTGTTGTGTCTAAACCATCCAAGACAGACGGCTATCCAGGCTCCTTTAAAAGCCTCCAGTGAAGGAGCTTCCACAACCTCCATAGGTGTCTGGACCGTTGTCCTACTGGTTTTACAGTTAGGAAGTTTTTCCTGAGATTTAATCTGTAGTTTGAACCTATTGCCTCTCGTCCTGTCCTCTGCGGCAGGAGAGCACAACTTGTCTCCATTTTTTTTATGGCAGCTTTTCAAGTATTTGAAGGCCACTATCAAGTTCCTCCCCCCGCCTCTTTTCCAAACTAAACAGACCCATGCTGAAGATTACAAAGGGCTGTCAGACCTACTGAGGGAAAGCACTATATGTGAGTTAGGACCTGCTACTACTGTGCTCTGTAAGCACCGAGCTGTATGCATGTACAAGGGCCCCTAGGTGTGCTGCACGGAGGGCTACGGTGTACATGCCAGCTGGAAGCTATAGCTGCTTCCAGTGTAGCTGCAGAAGTTTGCTCCTCTGGGAGCTATGGATGAATTCTATCTTCTACATCTGGCGTATGAGAGGGCACCCTCTCTCCCCCACCCCGCATGAGTATTCCTTACTGATAAACGTAACGCTCCTGCAAAGGTTGGTGGTGGGGGTAGAACCTTGCATGTTCACCCCAGGTCTTCCTACTTGAGCTAAAGGAGTAAATCCATTGGCTGGTAGTAGTGGTAGGCTATAATTCTGCAAATGTGTGCCGGCCGCTAGAGGAAGACATGACACCTGAGCCCGCACGTTACATAAACCTGGTGCAGTGTTGCTGACCTGGCAATGTGCCTTTAAACAGGATATGTGCCTTTAAACAGCACTCTCGTCTACCTTCAGAGGCTTGGTGATTGGGAATTTCACCCCCTTCTCTGTATTATTGAGAACACCAGGGGAGGGGTGATTTTCTACCGGGCTCACTACCTCTGCTCTCATTGAAATTAGTGACCCCACCTGACCCTGACCCTGCATGAAAGCCCAGCTATGAGTATGTGGGCAGGGGACACTGAATGCCAAGCACAGCTGCAGTCCTTCCGCTCGCCAGAAGTTAGCATGACCTATGGGGCAGGTTCACGGGGTCCCCTCCACATCAGTGCCAGCTAGTGGAGCTGGCCACTGCACAGAGGATCATACCCTGCCACCTGTGGGCAGCATGCCCAGTGCACCCTCTTGTATGAACAGTGAGGAAGCGAGGGTCCAGCTGCTAACATAGAAACCAGAGAGAATGTGAATTTATTCTTCCCGGGGCCAGCAGCACTGCAAGCTCTAAAAAGTGAGCCAGTTCACTTTTTAGAGCTTGCAGTGCTGCTGGCCCCAAGCTATGAATCAGGCCCCCAAAATTTTAAAAAGATTTTAAAGGCTAAAACTGTGGGACTGTCTTTGCCTTCTGGTTTCTGAGCCCTTAGGCATCAGGATTTCGAACCTTTCTTCACAGCTGGGAGGGTCAGACAGTTACTTTTTCTGTCATGAAAGCTGATCACACACACCAGATACCCAGAGACTTCCCGACAGTGGAGTAGGTATAGTTTGACAGCAATGTGCAGCAGGGACAGCAGGAAAGGGGGAGTCTGGGTCCATGTCTACACAACGGGGACTACAAAGGCAGAGCGGAAGGGGCTTTTCCATTGCTGTAGGAACCCCACCGCTCTGAACACCACAGAAACATTTTTCAGTCCACCACCTAGCTGGTCCACACAGGAGTTAGAGTTAGGGCAGCACAGTACTCCCTGTATATGGATTTTCCCTACTCCCGAGAGCTGTAGCAATGCAATGTCACGCTAACAAGCCTGGTGGTGAATGGGCAGAATTTGGGCAAGTGGAAGGGCTACCATTCTGCCCGGGGCAGAGTTAGGGTTGTACGGCACAGCCATTGTACAAGTGACAAGGTTGCTCTCTAGGCAGGGCAATGGGGAGTCTATGCTGCTGGCTGCCTTCATTTGTCATTTCATAGAATCTCAGGGTTGGAAGGGACCTCAGGAGGTCACCTAGTCCAACCCCCTGCTCAAAGCAGGATCAGTCCCCAATTTTTGCCCCAGATCCCTAAATGACCCCCTCAAGGATTGAACTCACAACCCTGGGTTTAGCAGGCCAATGCTCAAACCACTGAGCTATCCCTCCCCCCTTGCTTTATAGGCTTGTGTGAGGGGCACTACATACAGAACCTCAGCGGCACACCCAAAACAGCACTTCTACGCACCCACATTTAGACAGCATTTCAAAAACAAAGGAGGGGTTTCTTGAGATGAACGCTCCAGTACACAGAATCCAGCCACCTGGGCAGGGGTGGAAGGCTCATGCAATGGTGAAGGGGAGCAGAGGCTGCCCTTCTGACGGCAAATAGGTAAAGGGAAAGCCAATTTCACTGCGGAGGGGATGAAAGCATTCTACACAGTGGCACACAGAAAGGGACCTGTAAACCTGCCTGTTAAGATGTGATTTGCAGTGTGGCAAACTAGGAGCCTGGTCCAGCTCCTTTCTGAACAGCCCCAAAAAACTCAGCCTCTTATTCTCCTGCATGCCCAAGTGAACTCCTCAACCTGCTTTGAGGCACTTCTTCACACTTCCTACAGGGACGTGGCAGATGGGCTCCTCTGGGACTGACCCAGGCTGGGCTAGCCCCGCTTAGAGAACCGTCCCTGGGAGCAGGAAGTTAGGGCTCACCATGAAATTAAGCTCCTGCATCCTGTCTGCCATATGGAATGGCCTCGTCGGCATGCAGTGAAAACGTACTAAGCAAAGCAGCAGCGTGGGGGGCTGATCAATAATAAATGACTCGGGGGAAGACAGAACCAGAAGAAGAAAATTATCCCTTAGTTAGGCTGGAAACATGGAGCATCCCACTCTGCATCCCCGCAACCCTTTCCTGGCAGACATGGGGCTAAGGTGGATGTGTAGATCTTTCCCTGCTCCCAGCGCAGATCAGAAGGGGTGGAAGTCACGCTGGGGCGGTGGCCCAGTGACTTGGTTCTGCATTTCCAGCTTTCAGTCACTCAGGTCCAAGTGGATTCCAGGCTCTCTGTGACCAGTGTGTTTAGCCGATGGGAGCGGCACTCTCCCCCACTATCATTCTAGGAGCAAACATTGTGCCCCTTCCTGTACGAGTATGGAGAAGTCAGGTCGGCACAGGAGGGCGGGTGGGGCACATTGCTGCCTGGGCCCCGCTGATGGACAGCTAAGAACCAGCACATCTTTTAGTGACAAAAATATGTTATGAGGGATGATTAAGAGCTAATCCTTCCCAGTGGGCATAACCCAGGGCAAGGCAGCCCCAACAAGAGGCTGCAGGGACGAGACGCTGTAAATGCCAAGGAGGGAGGGGACCTGTTTGGGCTGCCACCCGAGGCAGAACTGGGAGTTACGAGGACAGAATTCAGAAGGGGACACCAGGGCTAACTAGCAGGGAAAACACTCAGACAGCAAGGTGTGGTGTGGCAAGGGTCTGTCCCCCAGCAATGGGGTGGAGGTCCAACTGCTGGGGCTCCAGCAAACATTTTTTTTTTCTTTAAACTATAAAAAGGAACATCACAAAGATTGCCAAGGAAATGGGCCGGGCAATCCAGCCATGTCACAGGAAATGCTCATCTTTAACTCTGTAATTCCATGCTATTTCTCTTTAAACTCACAAACTCAGCACCATGTGACCCAGCCTCTGGCCTCCCTGCACACCAGGATGCTCCTCGTCTCCACCCAACATGGTCAAGGAAACAATGGCCAGCCCCTGTAGGAGCAGAACAGCCCAGCAGCACCCAGCTGCAAGGACCAGGTAGGAACCACCAAAGACACATGAAGTCATTGGGCCAGCACCTTTGTATTTAAAATTTGCTCCTTAACCTCTACGTCTCGGGTAATTGAGTTTCATGCATCAGTGCTACAGAGTAGTCTGGGAAGGCAAGTGCACGCATGTACACCTCCACACGCACTCACCCCCCCAGGCCGGCCAGCCACTCAGACTTCCTCGGAGTGAGCTGCAGCATGTGAGCAAAGCTCTCCCTCTCTCGCTGCCAGAGTGCACACACTCAGTCCTCTTCTGTTTTTCCTTCCCCACAGGCGGTGGAATCCCACTGCCCAGCGTTTGCTTGGGCGCTGGCTCCCAGCTACTGCAGAGCCCTGAGAGGCCAATTCTTGTAAACAGCAACTCAAATGAAATTTCACTGGGACAAGATCATTCAGCCTCACTCCCCCTGGGAGCTGCTGCCACAAGAAATCCTGCTGCCAACCCCCAGCAAAGAGACTCGCTCTGCTGGGGAGAGGATGGCCTTAAAGAGACAGGCAGCTCACTCACACCCCGGCCTTATTTTGCACTGCAGAGACATTGGCACAGCCCTGCCTGCTCTCAGGGCAGCCACCCTCACACACACTGCGCTGGGCCGGCAGGAAGACTTTCATCCGTATATAAGGAGTGGTTTCAGAGTAGCAGCCGTGTTAGTCTGTATTCGCAAAAAGAAAAGGAGGACTTTGGCACCTTAGTCTCTACGGTGCCACAAGTACTTCTTTTCTTCATATAAGGAGAGGGAAGTGGAGGCTTCCATGCTGCTCTGGCTCTGGGCCTGTTGGGCCCACGCACACTGCTGTGGGGTCAGAGTACCTGCAGGAATTGGATGGGTTTGCTCAGTCCACAGAAGCGCAGAGCTACAATTCATTTGCAAATTTAACACCACTAATTTAGGCTTGAATAGGGACTGGGAGGGGCTGGCTCACTACAAAAGCAATTTTCCCTCTCTTGGTCTTGACACCTCCTCATCAATTATTGGGAGTGGACCACATCCACTCTGACTGAATTGGCCTTGTCAACCCTGGTTGTCCACTTGTAAGGTAACTCCCTTCTCTGCATGTGTCAGAACAGTAACTCCTCACTTAAAGTCATCCCAGTTAACATTGTTACATTGTTGATCATTGTTGATCAATGAGGGAACAGGCTCCCTTAAAGTTGCGCAATGCTCCCTTATAAGGTCGTCTGGCAGCCGCCTGCTTTGTCCACTGCTTGCAGGAAGAGCAGCCCATTGCAGCGAGCTGGTGGGGGCTTGGAACCAGGGTGGACAAGCAGCCCACCCCATCAGCGACCCACTCCCCTAAGTTCCCTGTGCAGCAGCCCCCCAGCAGGCTCTCAACTGCCAGCAATTCAGCTGTCCCTCCCCCCACTGCCACCTGTTGCTCCTGCCCTCTGCCTTGGAGCTGCTCTCCAGAGCCTCCTCCTTGCTGGGGAGGAGGGGGTAATGTCAGGGTGTCCCCCTCGCCCCTGCTCCTGCACCCTGCTTACCCCATCTCCATAGAGCAGGGCTCAGGACAGAGGGAGCTTCCTGGAAGCAGCTGCTGCGGTCTCAGCTTGCTGATTAACTTAACAAGGTAGTGTATTTAAGAGTGGTGTCAGCATATCTAAGGGGAAACGCACATCTCTCTCTCACACATATGGTGTGCATCTCTGTCTGCCATGCTGTCTCCCCTCCCTCCATTCCTGCTGCCTTGTAGAGTGTGAGGCTGCATTGACAATGAGTTAGCCCTTGAGGGCTCAGCCAATTGCTAGTTCATCATTTAGCAGTAAGGCAATCCCTGGGAAGTATCCCACCCTCTGACTCCACCACCTCAACCAAGCTTCACAATCATCATCTCTGTGTACAGTATTAAATTGTTTATTTAAAACGAGCGAGAGAGTGTGTGAGTGGTCTTTTGTGTGGCAAAAAAAGTTTCCCTGGAACCTAACCCCCCGTTTACATTAATTCTTGTGGGAAAATTGGATTCGCTTAACATCGTTTCGCTTAAAGTCACATTTTTCAGGGACATAACTACAACGTTAAGTGAGGAGTTACTCTATATTTATGCCTGTATCTGTAATTTTTATTCCATGCATCTGAAGAAGTGGGGTTTTACCCACGGAAGCTTATGCCCAAATAAATCTATTAGTCTTTAAGGTGCCCCCAGATTCCTCATTGTTTTTGTGGATACGGACTAACACGGCTACCCCTCTAATACAGACGCGCAGTGTTTACCTCACAGAAAATCGCTGGGTTTCTCCTCAAAGGAATCTGGTGTCACTGCCTTGACCTTGTTACATATATCACCAACTCAACAATGATTACGGACGCACACCTAGGGACAATGCCCTTCTCCAGAACAGGGAGCAATGCAGCAGATCCTCTATCTGTGAGGGAGAAATGTCTCCCTTCCCCGGAGCCACCAACCAGTCTGGCAGCTCCACTTTCCCACGCCTCCCCCTTTTCCAAGCACAGATTGTGTCATAGAGAAGACCAGTGAAAAGTCACAGCTCCCCAGAGCACAAAGCAATGGTGAGGAGGGCAGGCCCAAAAACTACAGTTCTGTTTTGTGACGAAATCTGAGGTCCCAACATTTGTTTTCATCCCCATGTTGAAAAAAATTAGACTTTTGAAATGTTGTGTGTAAAGTTAAAAAAAGCACAAGAGAGTCCTCAGAACAGTGGTCTGCGCACTCGCCTAGGATGAGAGAGACCCAGGTTCAAAGTCTTTGCTCTGGGGCAGTGACTTGGGGCACATCTACACTAGGAACTTAAGTCGACCTAACATTGTTAGACTTAACTCTTGTCCACACTGCCCTTCTTCTGTCGATGGTGCATATCCTCACCAGGAGCGCTTCCACTGACTTAAAAGGGGCAGTCGGAAGGCACTGAGAGCCCGGGTCCACAGCTCCCCTCCGCTAGAACCAGAATCCTGGGGGGGGGGGGGGGGCATGGATCCAAGTGGGGAGCGGGGTGGGTGCAGCCCAGCTTGGAGCAGGGAGTCCAGGGGATAGCCAGGCTCTAGCTGGAGCCCCCAACACACCCCAGGGTGACAGCCCAGCTTTCCTGTCAATTTCACAGATCCATACTAGAGCCATGAAATTGACCAGAATGACACCCAACAGCTGATGTAAATAACCCCGGTGTCTAGACAGACACTGTGCTGCCCTACCTACACTGACATAAGCTCTACGCCTCTCGTGGAGGTAGAGTAATGTCGGTGTAGTAGGGCACTTACATCGGCGGGACAAGGCTGTAGCGTGGACATAATTAGGTTGAGGTAAGATGTACATGTCTGTCTATCTAACTTTGTAGTGTAGACCAGGCCTTGGAAATGAGTCTCCCACATCCCCGGTGAGTCCCCATACCACCAGACCAGAGAGTCCATCTGTCTCCCTGGTCAGCGAATAATTAGTGATACAAAGTGGAACGGCTCCAACCAGAAAGCCAGAGTCTGATTTGTAGCCTTCTAAACCCTTGCTCTACCCCTGTTCATCACAGGGAACTGAACCCCCATATCGGCGATAAATGCTTTAATTACCAGGCTATTCTGGGCATCTCTCTCACTGACTGGAAATCCCATCGCACACTTGAGGAAATTTTCAATCAAGAAAACAGTTTTGCCAACATTTTCAAAACCACTTCAATGCTCAATAACGCCAGCCAAGACTTGTCACTGATCTAGCACTTTCCGTCCAATGTATGACACAAAAGTAGGGCAAGATCACTGTCCCCATTTTACAGACAGGGAAACTGAGGCACCCACCAGTGACCTTTAGAACTTCAGCCGTGACTCTGGAACCAGCTGTAAATCTGACCAAGACCGAAAGAGTTTATGCTCTCAGAGCATGCTAGAGAATGCACCTCACATACAATTCCCCTTTCACTGACTCCATTCACAATCTCAGAGCTAACCAGACTCTGCATATCAAGTTCTGCATTATAAAAGCAGATGAGAAAGCATCACGCTCTTTGTTCACACCCTGCAGGTGTGTTCCAGATGCTGCATTTGAGCATCTAGCTGTTCTTCTTGGACATGCTGAGCTCCATACCAGACAGCCTGCAAGGGAACTAATAAGACTTCACATTAGTTTAGTACTTTCCATTATTTCATTCTGTTTTGTTCTATTCAGGCTCCTTGTACTGCACCCATCATCATGATATCCAGTACCAAATCCCTCTGGGAGAAAACATCCACCACTGAAATACAGCCACCTCTGGAGTGGAGCATGGCAGCAGTTTTATCGGGCATGCCAAGACTACATGAGAATTTAGGACAGAAGTAAAGAGCACTGTACCCAACTGAAACTGCAGGTAAGGAGAGTGCATTTGCCCAAAGGGAAGGTTGGCCAGAATACTGGGGTAAACAGACTGAATAAGAATCCTGCTCAGCACAGACTCTGGGCTCTGCACAGGGGTGTACAAAGCAATCATGTGCATAGGTGCCGACTCTGTGGGTGCTCCCGGGCTGGAGCACCCATGGGGAAAAAATTGGTGGGTGCTCTGCACCCACTAGCAGCTCCCCGCCCCAGTTCATCACCGCCTCCGCCCCTGAGCGCCATCCCTGCTTCTCATCCCAGCTGTTTCGCGGCATAACAAGCTCTGGGAGGGAGGGGGAGGAGCAGGAACATGGCGCACTCAGGGGAGGAGGTAGGGAAGAAGCAGGGCTGGGGCAGGGATTTTGGGGAAAGGAGTCAATACGGGCAGAGGCAGAGTCAGGGTGGGGCCGGGGGGCCGTGAGCACCCACTGGCGCCAGGAGAAGTTGGCGCCTATGATCATGTGTTTCTATGGGAGCTACGCTTACTTGACACCAATTACCATCTTCAGCTCACACTCCATGCTGCTGCTCTGAACCGGAGACAAAGAAAGAGTCGGAAAGATTCAATCTTAGAAGGCCCATAGCCCACCTGAACGGAGAAACGTGGCTCTCTCACCTGGAGAATGGCCACACTGCAGCTCCCATGGATTCCCCGAGTGAGGGCTCATCCCACGTACACCCTGCCCCTGGCTCCCGGGGCTCTCCCCTACAGCTTTGTAGGGCAAGAGCTAGAGGCCCTCATGTTCTGCAGACCTGCCTATCCATGGGCTATTTCCTGGCATTGCATTGGGAGCTCTCCAGAACTTAACAGCTCCATCTTACCAGTTCCTGCCCATCAGCTTTTTGGCTGCAGGAAATCAAAGGGGGGAAGGGAGAGAATACCACTGCCCACACCTGGGAGATGTGGGTGGGCTGTGACAGGAAAGCCTCTTTCCCCGCAATCCACATCAGAAGTGTAGGAACACTTGTGGAGTCAAGTGGAGGGAAGAGTTCAGAGCCACCAAACCCACTGCAAGAGCCACCCAGCCACCGGCAGCTTTTCACTTCATGATTTACTACGACCGCGTGCTGCTCCTCCCCGGAGCAGGCGGAATCTGTCTGCACACAAAGCGAACTGCCTCTGGAATGCGGCTGCTGCCACGCTAAGAATGGGGCTCCCCAGGGAGACGGCTTTGCTGAGTTATGCCAAGCCAGCTGCACGGAGAAGCTGCAGCCGGGAAAGTAACTTCTCAGGTGGCTTTACAGTGCAGTGGAGATCAGGGTGCCTGCATCGCGCCCTCGTTACAAGGCCCGAATGGAGAGATTTCCAGGAGGAGAAGTTGCTTGGGCAGCTCCCTGGTTCATTAAGCATCATAATAAACCCTCTTGTCATAACCCCTACCTGGCTATTCACGGAGAACCCCTGGGGCCTGAAAGCTGCTCTGGGGGGGAGGGTGGGGGTGTCACCGGCCTAACCGCCTCCCATAATCTCTCCACACACACTTGCTTCTAACTGAGCAGGGAGGGGAGAGTCAGTCAGCTCTAGGGAGCCAGTGGGAGGATTCAAGGAAAGGGCATGTAGATGCAGAGGGACATCACATGCCCTAATGCACAGTTATGCACTCTCACTTCCACATACACACGCTTGTGCGCATGCAGACACACACGGGCAGGAGTACTTGCACAGTACCAACGCACACACTACCACAAGTACGTACACACATGCACCTGATGTACAAACACACATGCACGCAATATGCTTGTGTGTACACACACACATGCTCACGCCCAGACTTGTGGACACACACACATTCCATGGCTGGGAATCAAGGCCAGAATATTTGAATATGTTTTTTTTAAATGAATACAAACTTGTGACTGCATTCGGTTACCCTCTGCTACTGAAACAATCCCTTCGCCTTTGAAGGCTGCACCACGGTACTGTAGTGATCACTCACTTCCTTGCAACTCGTGGAACAAGTAAACAGATGTTGGGTGGCTGGTTAATCACTTCACCTGTTTGCTACACATTGCCACAGCTTTATAGATAATAAAAATCCACTAGCTGAATATTCCTAAAGAGTGACTTTTCTCGCCTAGAGCGAGTTGGTATTTAAGCAGGTCGGATTTGCAATTTGCTATTATAAAAATAATCCAGTAAAACGGGAGCAAGGGTGAAACTGGACTGGTGACCCCCAACTCACAATTCCAAGTGGAGGGCTGCACAGAGCACAGGCTGGCCATTGACCAGCTGTCCCACAAGACAGGGCTGGAGGGGCACACCGCAGTGGACAAATCCCCAAACCAGAGCTGATCTGCACATGGATCCAGACTCCCTGGGACTGTGTGGATAGAGATCCTGGAAGTATGTAAGCCTCGGAAGGTACCTTGCACATTAATCCACCCTCCCAGATAGCAGTGGGCCCTGTTCAAGCAGAGGCAGAGATATCCAGCTATTCTGGACCAGCTATGAGAAAACACATTCACAGCAGGCACCTGGGAGCTTGGGAAAGCTTCATGGAAAGGGCTACTGGGGGGCAGCACTGTGTGTACAGAATTCAGTCCAGTCAACAAGCCATGCAGGGATCTCTGGGGAGCAGGGAGCGCAGAGGGGGCTGTGGAGGGACAAGTCTCCTAAGGTAAGATCCATATTGCCATGGAGAATGACAGCCACCGACAGCCAGGTAACTGCACCTTGGCAACTAGTAAGGCTTTCAACTTCAGTTACAGCTTCCCTCCAGTAACTTCCCAGCCAAATACTAGCAAGTTTGCCTGACAGGGACAGTGGTGCTAACACAGACCACAGCCTGGTAGGCAGAGCAGAAATGTGTTCCCAAAGGAAACTGCCCAGGCTTGCCTTGAGCCCCTTGGCTCCTCAGAGATCTCCAAAGCACATCCACAAGCTGGGTGTGAGGATGTGCTGGGGGAATGGCCCGGTGCCAGACACAGCATGGGTGTGGCTCTCTGAGAAGGTGCCACTGGCATGGTGAGTGCTTCCAAACACTGTACCAGGTACAGCCGCTTTGCCCGCTCTGCACTAGCAGCGGCTTATTAAACCAAGGCTCTATGCAACATGCATATGGGCGCTCAGAAGCTGGTCAGCAATTCTAAGCATCCTGCCTGCAATGTGCACAAGTCAGACCCAGCAACGGCCTTCGCATTGACCAGCCCTACCACCAGACAGGGACAGAGGGGTGAGGCGCTGGGGAACAAACAGGCTCTCATCCCTGGCTGCTCCGAGGAAGTGGAGGTCACAGCTCTGCACAAGGCACAGCAGACCAGCTGTCCCACAAGACAGGGCTGGAGGGGCACACCACAGCTGGCTCTGGTGGACAAATCCCCAAACCAGAGCTGATCTGCCCATGGGTCCAGACTCCCTGGGACTGTGCAGATAGAGATCCTGGAAGTATGTGAGCCTCAGGATCCAGCTTCAGAGGCCCGGACACACAAGGATAAGCTTCAGCAGCACAGGTGTATCTGGGGTCATGCCAGCTGTCAAGACTAACTCGCCACCCAAGCATGGAGGTGCCCAACCAAGATATCAAGAGAACAAAGGTCAATTCACAGATTCATAGGTTTAAGGCCAGAAGGGGCCATTCACTGGGCTCTTCAATCTAGCAGAGAAAGCCATGACATGATCCAGTGGCTGGAAATCGAAGCTAGACAAAAATCAGACTGGAAATAAGGCATCAGTTTTTAACAGGGAGGTTAAGTAACCACTGGAACAATTTACCAAGGGCTGCTGTGGATTCTCCAACACTGGCCATTTTTAAATCAAGACCGGACTTTTTTCCTCACAGATCTACTCTAGGAATTATTTTGCGGCAGGTCTCTGGCCTGTGTTATACAGCACTGCAGACTAGATGATCACAGTGGTCCCTCTGGCTTGGGAATTACAAATCTATGATTTGCAATCACCTTGTCCGACCTCCTGCCTAGCACAGTCCACAGGACTTCCCTGAATTAATTCCTGCTTCCAGTCTAATAGCTTTGTTTAACCTAGAGCAGCTCTTTTTGAGAAAGACGTAACCATTCCTAGGGACAGAGAATCAACTACAGCCCTTTTCGCTTCTACCTCAGAGTGCAGGGGGGCTGGAACCCCTAGTTCCAGTGGTTTCCGTCGCAGACTGTGTTTACAGTTCAGTTCAATGGCTCTTAGCACCCCCAGTATGCAATCTGCTCCAACACCGCTGGTGGAGTTCTTCACTGACAAGGAGCCCAAAGCTTGTGCGCAGCAGCCCCAGTTCAAACCCTTCCCCCTTCAGCCCTGCGCCTTACAAACACATTGCCAGAGGCTTTACATGCAGCCTGGCCAAAGACCAATACAGCTACCAGAGATGGAGAAGCAAAGCCTGCAACCCAGCTCTGTATAGAAATCCAACCATATAGAGCCGTTAGAAAAGACTGCTCCCGACTCCAGATCACAAACCCACAGAGATCAAGCCGGCAGCGCACCTCACTTAGCCCACCACGCCACCGACGCCCTCTGGAGTGGCGGTAGCACAATGACATTATGCTTCTGCATCTTGCAAACCTCGTTCTGCGTCCTAGGGTTGCCAACTTTTTCATTGCACAAAACCAAACACCCTTTCCCCCGCCCCACTCCTTCTGAGGCCCTGCCCCACTCACTCGAGCCCCCCTCCCTCCATCGCTCGCTCTACCCCACCCTTACTCATTTTCACTGGGCTGGGGTAGGGGGGTGGGTTGGGGCCGGGGGGAGTTAGGATGAGGAGGGGGCTCCGGGAGGGAGTTTGGGTACAGGAGGGGGTTCTGACCTGAGGCAGGGGGTTCGGGCTCTGGTCAGGAGTGGGTTCTGACCTGAGGCAGGGGGTTCAGGGTGCGGGCTCCAGCCAGGCAGCACTTACCTCAGGTTGGTGGCACAGCAGAGCTAAGGCAGGCTCGTCGCCTGCCCTGGCTCCACGCTACTCCCAGAAGCGGCCAGCATGTCTGGCCCCTAGGCAGAGGCACAGCCAGGCAGTACCGCCCCCGCAGCTCCATTGGCCACAGTTCCTAGTCAATGGGAGATGCAGAGCAAGCACTGGGGGCAGAGGTAGCACTTAGAGCTTCCCTGATCATCTCTGCACCTAAGGGCCGGACATGCTGGCCACTTTGGGGAACTGCACAAAGCCAGGCAGGCAGGGAGCCTGCCTTAACCCCTGCCGACCGGACTTTTAACAGCCCAGTTTTCTGATCAAAAGCCACATGCCTGGCAACCCTACCTGCATCATCCCCTCTGAGAGGCTCCTTCAGTCGCAAATAGGAGGTAGCATCCGACAGCAGACGCTGGAGGGTTTGTGGCTGGGCAAACAGATCGGTTTTAGCCCTCGAACTGACCAAACAGGGAAAAAGGTTTCGGGGTTGAACAAAACATTTCATTTTGTTTTCATTTCCTTCTACCCCCCCTGAATCTAGCTAAATTTCAAAACAAAAAACCATTGACTTTTCCAGAAAAATTCCCCCTCCTTTTTCCCAGCCAAAACTGTGGCCAAATTCATGAATAAAGAAAAGGAGTACTTGTAGCACCTTAGAGACTAACCAATTTATTTGAGCATAAGCTTTCGTGAGCTACGAAGTCTGTAGCTCACGAAAGCTCATGCTCAAATAAATTGGTTAGTCTCTAAGGTGCCACAAGTCCTCCTTTTCTTTTTGCGAATACAGACTAACACAGCTGTTACTCTGAAAATTCATGAATGCCTTCAGCTGACCTGAACATGTAAACTGTTCACAGAAAAGTTTCACCCTGCTTGGCTGCAATTTTACAAGCACTTTACAGCCATGCTACAATAGTTTTATTAGTGAACACTTTTAAACCAAAATATCTTGTTTAAGATGAGTATTTCTATTGAAATATTAGTTCTGTAAGACACTCCTCCCAGCAAGAACATGCACAGTTGAAATGCAGCAAATAAAATTCAACTCAGAATTCTTTTCCCAGTAAATTCTTTATGTTAGGCAATTTGAGTGACATGTCATGACTTGGAATTATATTTGATAAAATATGAGAATCTCTGATTATTTTTTGTAAGTCCAAAAGGAACCACTCTTATCTAGTCTGACCGCCTGTATAACACAGGCCATAAACCTTCCCCCAGATAATTCCTAGAGCAGATCTTTTAGGAAAAAAATCCAATTTTCATTCAAAAATTGCATTATGGAGAATCAAGCACAACCCTTGGTAAATTACTGCAGTGCTTACTCTCATTGTTAAAAACTGATGCCTTATTTCCATTCAATTTGTCTAGCTTCAACTTCCAGCCATTGAATCGTGTTATACCTTTCTCTGCCAGACTACAGAGCCCATTTGGAATATTTGTTCCCCACGTAGGTACTTGGTCTAGGATTTATTTTGGGGCAGGTCTCTGGCCAATGACATACAGGTGGTCAGACTAAGTGATCACAATGATCCCGTCTGGCCTTGGAATCCAAGTGTGTTCAAGTCACCTCTTAACCTCCTCTTTGTTAAGCTAATAGATGGAGCTCCTTGAGTCTATCACTATAAGGCGGGTTTTCTAACCGTTTAATCGTTGTCATGGCTCTTCGCGAAACCCTCTCCAATTTATCAACATCCTTCTTGAGCCGTGGACACCAGAACTGGATGCAGTATCCCAGCAGCAATTGCAGCACTGCCAAATAGAACTAGAACCTTCCTATTCGGTATTCCCCTGTTTAGACCTCCAAGGATTGCATTGGCCCCTTTGGCCACGGTGATGCACCGAGAGCTCATGCTCAGCTGATTATCCACCATGATCCATATTTTTTTTTCTTGGCAGAGTCACTGCTTCGCCAGATACAGCATGGCCTACATTCTTTGTCCCTAGAAGCATAACTTTACGTTTGGCTGTATTAAAACACACGTTGTTTGCTTCCCACCCAGCTTACCAAGCGATCAGATCACTCTGTAGCAATGACTTGTCCTCTTCATTATTTACCACTCCTTCCATCTGTGTGTCCTCTGCACACTTTATCAGCGATGATTTTACATAGTCTTCCAAGGCATTGATAAATATGTTGAATAGTGTAGGGCCAAGAACCAAACCCTTTGGCACCCCACTACAAGCCCTCCCCTCCAA